AAGTGGTGTACCCAAAATAGCATTGAATTCAACAAATTGATAATCGGGCAATAAATCTAAGATCAATTAATTGCACGATAATCAAATTTAATGAACAAAAGAAGTTTCAGTCTTTTTCAATCAGCTACTGATACGGAAGGATTTCATTCCAAACGGATTCGTTAATTAAGGGAAGCAATAAATAACTGCTAATCAACAACAACACCAACAACAAAAACAACAAATCCTGTAAATTCCCAGAAAAAGTAGGGGATTCAAATAAAACCTTCCATGGCAATCATATTCATGAATAACTACATATCTAAACCAACTCCTCAAACAAGCAATTAGTTCTTTTAAGCCTAATCTCAAGTTAAAAGGCGAAAAAAAGAGAAATTTTTACAACCAAATTCGCAGGAAAAATTGAAGAACCAGCTCAAAAGAAAACTCCATAGCTCTGGAGAAACACGATTATCCACAGATCCCCCCGTGAGTCTCGACCCAAAGAAAAAAAAGAGTGAATTTGCTAGTAAAAATCAGAAACAAAGCAAAAAAGTCAATGTGAAGTTGCGAGATCTGAATACTTTTCTTCTTTTAAAATAGCGCAGACCTTTACGGAGCTCTATATTGGAGAGAGTCGAATCGGAAGCATCCATTACAGTTGTGGAGAGGGAGAAAGGGAGAGATTAGATTGGGGAGACGATAAGATACATATCTGAGAGAGATTGTAGAAAGAGAATTTTACAGAAGACGACTGACTACACGAGGCCACGAGGGAGGGAGGGAGGGAGGGATAGAATTCTCTCTACCTTGTTCCTCTTCGAGACTCGAGACAGCGGAGGGGAGGGGAGGGGGGGAGGGGGGGGGGCTTTTTATCCAAAACAAATAATCATTGGGGATTATTTTTTGCTAAAAATTACGGAGTATATACTCCCTAGAATTTTTCAACATGATTGTTTGGAGTGGGTTTTTAAGTAAAAGTTAGACCCAAGGGCTTGTTTGGAATTTGGATGAGAAGAGAGAAAATTGGAGGAAATAAAATAAAGGGAAGAAATTAGAGAGAAAATGAAAAGGAAATAATAGTTGTTTGGGAAAAAAATTACTCAGAATACTGTTGATTTATTGTTAAGAACTCTTAGCTCTTACATTATTTGAAAAATACTTTGGAGTATCTTTGATTTTCTGGTAAAAGTTCACAGGCCCGCGCATTATTTGAAATAAACTCCGAGGGTCGTTAAAGTTTGCGGTAGTGTACTTTGAAAGTGCATTCCGTCTATTTAGTCGTTAAAGTTCCGTTATTTGACAAATACTAAACTTTACGTTTATATTCGTTATCTTATTCAAATTTTAATAAAATCTTTTAATTTGTCAAAACAACAAAATTTTCAATCATAACGTTTAAATGAGCAAAATGTACCCTCGAATAGCCCATTCCCTGAGGTGATCTTGTTGGCCCGATCAGTATTGGATTATAACTCATCAAGTAAAAAATATTTTTATTTTAAATGTAGTTGATCAGGTCAACAGCCAGTTTGACCCGTTAACCCTTGACGTAATTATTTGTTTGGTCAAGGTCCGGTATGAGTATTAAGGAGTACTGCCACCGTCACTTAGAGCATCCCCGGTGAAAGTCTTGAGAGAGTATGAGGAAGAATCTGAAGACTCGCTTCTCTAGACTTCACCATTGGAGTGCAAAGAAAACGGTGAAGGTCTCGAAGATAGTCTTTGAATTCCCGGATTCTTTCTCAAGACTTCAACTCAATCCATTCTATAAAAACCTAATACGTGTAGTTAATAATAATTATATTTTGAAAATAAAAATTAGCTCACTTATTTTCAAATTAAAAAACCAATCTTCCCAATTGAAAAAAATCAATTGGCAATTATGTATCCTTATATTATTTTATGCTTTTATTTTTATTTTATGTAATTTTTATACAATTTTATATTTATAATTTTTTATCTTTGGCGTTCTCTTCTGGATAAACCAAAATGGAGTGATTATACATTTCAATTATGTCTACTTATGTAATTTTGATTTGTTGTGCTTTTAATTTTATGTTAGGCAACTTATATTTTATGTGTGTTTACTTAAATGATTTTAAAGAAATGCACTTATTTTATTTTATGTATTTTATGTGTGTTAATTTATATAATTTTCTCTATTTTTATGTTGTTGATTTTTTATGGTTAATTATATTTACCAACACAATTGGTAGAAAATCAATATATAATACAAATAGGTATTAGAGAATTGATTAAATAGAACTAAAAGTTAATAAAATAAAAGAAAGTGGAATGTTGATATATATGGCAAAGATTGGAAGATACTTTTTCTGAAAGTCTGAAAATGAATCTGAAAGTCTGAAAATGAATCTGAAATGCCTAAAATGCTAATGTGGCAAAGTTTGGAAGAGTTTCAAGACTTCTTGCATTGTGGATGAAAATATTATGTTTTGATTCTTTGTGGTAAAAATTAAGACTTAAATTGGTAAAGTCTGAAAGAGTTTTAAAACTAATTAAATAAAATTGATATTAAATTTTGATACAAAAATAATCTTATTAGATTTTTATAAGTTTTTTAAAATACTGTATTATTTATCCAATCAATACACTTTATAAATTTATTTAATTACAAGTCAATAATAAAAAATGATTGACTAAAGTGTGCAGTATTAGGACATCCCCAATGCATGGAGTCTTGAAACCCTTTCAGATTTTACCACATCAACATTTTAATATTTTACTCTTTGTAAGACCTTCAGAAAACAACTATCGCAATCCTTATATTCTTTCAAATTTTGCCACATTACTATTTCACTATCTTTTACTCTATTAATTTTTATTTATATTTAATAAGTTGCCTAATATATAATTGTATAATATATTGATTTTTCTACTAAATTTGTTTATAAATATAATTAATCATTAAAAACAACATAAATTAGGAAAAAATATATAAAATTAATACCCATAAGTAAATATACATAAAATTTAAATTACATAACATGAAACTAAAAGCACAACAAATTAAAATCACAGAGTACATAAGTAGACATAATTTTGATATATTTGGTTGATCTTTATTATGAGAATGCCAAACATAAATATTTAAATATAAGATTGGTAAAAGAATGCCAAACATAACAAATTAAATACTTCATTTGTCCTTAAAAGATTACTACAGTTTGACTTTTCGAAGCAAACTGTGGAACCATTTGACCACAAATTAAATCTAGCTTAAAATAATTAAATATTATAAAAAATTGACATTTTAAAACTATATTTAAAAATAAACCCAATTTTACTAAACTTATATTATAACTAAATATATTTTTTCATAATTTACGGCCAAATGTCAATTATGTCTTCTTATGTAATTTTATTATGTAATGCTTTTATTTTTATTTATGTAATTTTTATTTTATACAACTTTATATTTATAACTTTTTATGTTTGGCGTTCTCTTCTAGATAAACCAAAATGGAGTGATTATACATTTCAATTATGTCTACTTATGCAATTTTGATTTGTTGTGCTATTAATTTATTTTAGCCAACTTATATTTTATGTGTATTTACTTAAATGATTTTAAATAAATGCACTCATTTTATTTTATGCATTTTATGTGTGTTAATTTATATAATTTTCTCTATTTTTATGTTGTTGATTTTTTTATGGTTAATTATATTTACCAACAAAATGGGTAGAAAATGAATATATAATACAAATATGTATTAAATAATTTATTAAATAGAACTAAAAGTTAATAAAATAAAAGATAGTAGAATGCTAATATATATGGCAAAGATTAAAACACGCTTTTTCTGAAAGTCTGGATATGAATCTGAAATACCTAAAATTCTAAAGTGGTAAAGTCATAAAGAGTTGCAACACTTCTAGCATTGGGGATGAAAATATTATGTTTTGATTCTTTGTAGTTAAAATTAATGGACCTTGATCACTAATTAAATAAAATTGATATTATATCTTGATACAAAAATAATATTATTAGATTTTTTAAAAATATTTTTAAAATATTATTTTATCCAATCAATACACTTTATAAATTTATATAATTATAAGTCAACAAAAAAATGATTGACTAAAGTGAGGAGTACTAGGACATCCCAATGCATTCTACAACATCAGCATTTTAATATTCCACTCTTTTTAAGATTTTTAGAAAAAAACTGCTGAATCCTCATACTTTTTCAGACTTTGCCACATTAGTATTTCACTATCTTTTATTCTATTAATTTTTATTTATACTTCATTAGTTATCTAATATATAATTGTATAATATATTGATTTTTCTACCAAATTTATTTATAAATATAATTAATCATTAAAAAATTCAAATACATAAAATTCGAAAAAAATATAAAATTAATACCCATAAGTAAATATACATAAAATTTAAATTACATAATGTAAAACTAAAACACAACAAATTAAATAATTGTAAAATATAATTGCTCCATTTTGGTTGATCCTTATGAGAATGCCAAACATAAAATATTTAAATATAAGATTGCTAAGAGAATGCCAAACATAAATAATTAAATACTCCATCTGTCTTTAAAAGATTGTTACAATTTATCTTTTTTGGTCAAACTCTGGCACCATTTGACCACGAATTAAATATTGTTTAAAATGATTAACTATTACAAAAATTTGATTTTTCAAAACTATATTTTAAAATAAATTTAATTTTACTAAATTTATATGTTAACTAAATATACTTTTTCCGATTCAGAAGATGTCATAATTTGACAAAAAAATTAAATTCTGACAATTTTTTAAGCACCAAGAGAATTTAAAATTGCATAAAATAAAAATTACACATAAAATAAAAATAAAAGTATCTTTCAAAGTTGTACTCTGCAGGGGGAGAAGATCCTTCAAAGTTGTACTACTATATGTTTGTACTACTCTTTACTGTCGTACCATCCTCAGTTTTGATTATCATTATTATCATACATAGTATCTTTTCTAATGATCAAAAATCAAGATTCACACAATCAAACAAGTGTAATTTTTGAACAACAATCTCAATTTGCCTCTCTCATCGGCGGCGGCGGCGGCGGCGGCGAAGATGATGCACATGACCTTCTACTGGGGCAAAAACGTCACCGTTTTGTTCGATTTCTGGAAAACCGATTCCTGGACCAGCTACGCCCTCACCTTGTTCGTCTCCTTCCTCTTCTCCGTCTTCTACCAGTACATGGAGGACCGCCGTCTCCGATTCAGGATTGCCGGATCCTCCTCCTCACCCGGAAGCAACAAGGCGAATCCGGCGGACGCTCCTCTGATCCGATCCGCCGGCGGCCGCCGGGTCTCGGCGGCGAGAATGACAGGAGCTCTGCTTTTCGGGATAAGTTCGGCCGTCGGATACCTCCTGATGCTGGCCATCATGTCTTTCAACGCCGGCGTATTCATCGCCGTCGTCGTCGGCCTCGCCGTCGGGTACCTGTTTTTCCGGAGCGGCGGAGACGATGACTTGGTGGTGGTGGGTAATTCGTGCGCTTGTGCTTAAGTCAAGACGATTCCGTATTTAAGGAACTGATTTTTCATTTCTTGTTGGTATGGCTATTCCACCATTCCCGCCTCTTCGTATCTGCCTGCGTTAAAGTTACTCCATATAGACAAAAACAAAATTCTGCCTATATAATTTGTTCAAATGCAAAATTAGGATATTTAATACTCCACAGAAATTTTTGTTTATTTCTACGTTTTTATTAGTTATTTGATAAAATAAAATATTTTGGATACTTCTTATTTCGAAGAGCTTTTCATGTTGTTTTTTGATATCTAAATCTTATTTTTTATTTTTAAACTAATATGTAAATAAAATGAATTGAAAAAACTTAATACTACGTATTTTACTTTGGTAATAGAAATGTGAGATATATTTAGAGACGAAGAGTGTATAAATCAATTTAGAATATTTATCAAGTTTTGACTAACAAATTAAATCAAAATTACATGATATAGTATTTACTACGTAATTAAAACAATGTTTTAAATGGAGGGAGTATAAACAAATCCTCTGTATTTTTTTAAGCGTCAACTACTTTTGCTTAAGCAATAATTAACAAGGAAAGTATTAAAAACCCACCACTTACGAGTTACGACCCCATATATGACAATATAGACAATTTTATACATGCACATACGATAATCGTCTCTGTTGTTTACCGATTATTATCGTCTTTGTATTTATAAAAGAGAAATTTATGCAAATAGCACTAAAACATAATGACTTTCTCTAAATAACACTACATATGTTTTTTCCCAATGTAGCACTTTTAGTCATTATCCATTAGTCATTATTCAAGTAAATGTTTGCCATCACTGGTCATTATGGACATTATTAAGTGCTATTTAGGGAAGAAAACAATTTAAGTGATATTTAGAGAAATGACTTAAGTTTTAGTGCTATTTAGTGCAAATATTTCTTTATAAAATCATTTGTATTGTTACGCGTGGGGGCATGAGTGTGGGCACCGTAGCACGGTAACAATGGATTAAATTTAATTTTTTAAGGTTTTATTTTTAAAAAAAATACCGAGTATATATTATACATATATACATATAAAAAGAGCAATTTCCCAAAATAATCTTTTGTAATAAGGTGTCTTCCCTATTTAGTCCTTAATAAATTCCAATCACCTATTTAGTTCTTTAAAATTGAGATTTATTCTTCAAATAGTTATTCGTAAATAATGTTACTCGAAATGTCATTTCTATACAATTAAATGTAAAATCAAAAAAATAAGCTGACTATACATAATCCATTAGTTACTAAAAACCTATAACAAAATCTTTTAAAATTCGAATCAAATACACACATCTAATTAGAAAAAATTAGTTTTGGATAACACTTCATTAGAAATGATCATTTTAAGAGCTTATTCTAAATTTAGTTGATAAAAAATACAAAAATACACTCAAATTAATTATCCTTTGCCTAAATTTATTTATTAAAGACTATCTAGGATATAAATCTTAATTATCAAGGATCCTTTAGTTAATTAAAACTTATTGAAAGCTAATTTAGGAAAACGCCTTAGAATAATTTTAAAAACTTACCCTATAAAAAATTTAGGACCCTAATATTTACATAGGGTCGGGCAGGTAGGGCTATTTTGCCATTCCCTTGGGCCGGCCCTGAAGAACATTTGAAAGTTTAAAGAATCCAAAAGTTCCAAAATCTCTTAGGGCCCGTTTGGTATATGGAATTCAAACTAAGAAATTGGAATTTAGGAGTTCAATTCTAATTCTGTTGTTTGGTAGAACAAAAATTATATGGATTTAGAATTGATAGTGCAAAAAATGAATTGAAATGGGTGAATTCAATTCTATAGAATTGAATCTCATGAAATTTCAATTCCAATTCAATTCCAATTCCATCAATTCCATACACCAAATGGACCCTTATTGAAATTAAAATACTCTCTTCGTTCTTCATAAATCTTCTTCTTACGCGTTTCAAAGTTAGATCGATTTTATTTTCAAATCAATTTATTGAATTGTAGGTTCAAAATTTAAAAAATAAGCAATATGGTAAAAACGATATGAAAATTCTATAAAACAAGAACTAACAAAATTATATTATTTTATGAAACGAATAGTAAAAATAAGTAAACAATGTGAGTTAAGTTTAACTTTGCGAATAATGTCTTAGAAGATATATAAGAGACAGAGGAAGTACATTGAAATGTGGATAGTACATAGAAAAATCACCCTAAATAAGACTAAAACATTGAAAAAGTACCAAAATAAGAGTTTCATATTTTTATTTTTGAAATAAAAGTTCGCACTGTGGTAATCTGTTGATAATGTGACAGTGTACATGTGCACATTACTATACTTTTTGGTAAGTTACATGTGCATTTTAACTTCTACTTCAGAAATCAAAACATAGAAATCCTATTTTGGTATAGTTTCAATGTTTTACTCCGACTTTTATCTTGTTTTCCTAGTACACATGTGAATGTCATTCTCTCTCCGTCAACTAAAGAATATTCCAATTACTATTTTGGACTCTCAATAACTTTTATTTATCTGTATATTTTAAATATTAATTTGAACAAAATAAAATATTTTTGTCATATCCTATTTTTTAAAACTTTTGATATACTTTTAAAATATATAATTTGTACATTTTATTTTTATACTAATTTATAAATAAAAATAATTTTAAAATACATGATAGTTTACATATTGTCAGAAAAGAAAATATTTTACGAGACAAATGAAAAAAGGAAAGATTTTAAAAGATGGAGGAAGTATTATTTTTAAAAATGCAAAGTTTGTTTGAGTTTCGACCCGAACAAAAAATGACCTAAGAATGATCCGATCATTTTGAGGCACCTATTTCATTAGTAAAATTAATACTATCTCCGTTCCAGAGTATTTGTCCACTTTCATTTTTACACACCATCCAATACACTTTTTTAATCCATTTTATCTTGTAATTTATATATTAAAAATATAGAAATTATATATTAATAATCTATATGTTAAGACAAATCAAATAAGATCACACATGACTATATTTAGGCTTACACATTGAGAGAATTTGATGAGTCAAAGTGCTTATATGAACAGTTCCAAAAGTCAAAACTAGACGAATACTCTAGGACGGAGGGAGTAATTCTTATCCCACTGACCCATGTACCACACCTAGGGAGTTTGGAATAGAGTGCAAGTGAGGTTAGAAGGTAAAATAATAGAAACTATCAATTTTTCCAACGAAACACCGAAGGTAACTTGAATCATTTTAAGATTACAATATCCCAAGTCAAAAGAACCCTAGTGTTTTAAAAATTATTGTTAAAATTATAATCTATCCATCTCAATTTTGATTATAATTTTTTCTCTCATCACGATAATTTTTGTTTATTAGTGTATTTTAATTGATTACTCCCTTCGTCCCAAATTATTTGCCACATTTGTATTTCCGAGGCAAAATATCAAGTTTTTTCAATTCATTTTATTTACATATTGGTAAAGACTTAAAAAATAAAATTTACATATTAAAAAATTACATGAAAAGTTCTTCGAAATAAGAGGTGTCAAGAATATTTTATTTTATTAAATAATCAATGAAAACGTCGAAATAAGCAAAAGTTCCCGACACTGCAGAAAAAGCAAATGTTGTGAACATTTAGGGACGGAGGAAGTATTTGATAAGATAAAAAATATATTTTTGTTACATCTTATCTTGTAAAACTTTTTGACATAATTTTTTAATATAAAATTTTTATTTTTTATCAATATAATAATTTGCAAATCAAAAGTTACATGGTTTTACCTCATAAATCTTAATTTCTAATCAAATTTGGAACAGAGGGATTATAATAAAAAGGTATATGATCTTAAGGTAAACAAATCGAATTCTAATTAAATCTATTTTTGACTTGGCCTAATCTTATTAAAACTCTGACCTTGTCCCATTTTTTTTCATTTTAATTATTAATACTCTCTTTGTCACAGGTACTATTTTAACATCTCGATAATTTTTTCTTGAGTACTTATTTTGGTTGACCATTTGATAAAATAAAAAAATTTTATCACACCTTGTTTTGTCAAACTTTCGAAATACTTTTGAACAATGTAATTTTTATTTTTAATTTCTTTACTAATTTATAAATAAAATAATTTCTTTGGGAGGTAGGGAGTAATAAACACTGAATAATAAGAATAACTTTGAAGAAAAATTGGCCCTTACTAAGTCATTAATGAAATGATCTGATGCAGTGATGCCCACATGTTTGGACCACAGATAGGACTAAAACCCATCAGAGAGCTGAAAACTCCATTACCAAAACCCATTATGAAGCTGCACCACCCAAAAAGAGGGCATATGGATCAGCTGTCAATATAATAGGTCTTCTAGCCACTAAAGCTATTATACACAGAGAGAGAGAGAGAGAGTACAATGCAATAATAATGCAAGTTGTCAACTACCCAAACTGCAAGAGACAGAGCTAATTTCCAAAACATTAAAGCTTTTTTCTTTTTTAATGTCTGCTTTAATGGCTGCCCCCACACAATGGCATTCACTTCACTCTACACAAAAACTTACAGCGTTGACTCACCGGTTGACTTTTTTTTCAGGTGCTGTTTTGGGAGATCACTTCTCCAAACTTGAGGAACAACTGGGCATCTGATGTGCTCATGGAGGCGTAGTTCACCAGGTGTGGGTTCTTGAGATTGGCGTATTCGTCCTTGTAGCATTGCACCGTTTTGACCGAAGAAGCCAGGGGCGAAAGCGTCTTTTCACTGAAGAGCTTCTTCACCTCGGTCGGGTGGATTAGGCTCTCGAGCACGCGGGCTACTTCGTGCATCGTTGGCCTTTCGAATGGCTGCCTCTTGGTGCACAGAAGTGCTAGCTGGAAAACCTTCTTGATGTCTCCAGGATCATTGCATGTTTCTGTGATTTCTGGATCAACTGTTTCCATCACTGCATTGCTTGCAGCCTTTGTTAGGATCTGTGTCACAAATGTTCAAGCATAGTCAAGGAATCAGCTCAGCCAAAAGCTCAAGTTTGTGGTTTTAGGCCAATAAATGTTTTTGTATTCTACTATGTCCTTCCCTGCATAACTCATGACCTCTTAGTCAATAAGATTCAGATACCATGTATAAGAACCAACTCGGCCAAAAATTCTAACTTTTGGTTGAATGCACTTGAATGGATTTATAAACTAACATACAAGAGTGATAAAAATATGGTGTGCCAATTGCCAAATATATATTGCATTTGCT